CAGGAGTATAGCTGTAGTATCTATGGTAGGGTTTTATATGAAGGTTAATTGCTAGTGTGCTTATAGCGTCACTAAGCTACTGATCTTCTCTGTATCTGAACTACTGGCCAGTTTAATCTCTGATATGATAGAGAAAATAACTGGAAATAGGTTCCTGTTGTTCAGGCTGTAACACACAGTTTGTATATTTTGTGTATTTTATCTTTGTAACTGGGGGTCCTTCTTAGGTGAATTGAGAATTACTCTTTTCAGAAGAAAAAAGGGAAAATTACTTCATAAAATGATGACTGTCAGGAAGTGTTGGGTCTGTTCCAGTTATGCCAATCAGTTAAACTGTGAGCATGCAGGAGGTGAGAAAGGGGACACGGCTCAGCACACTCCTCCAACTGCTGCAATCAAACTGTTGGGCCCATCTGCTTCAGAAGATTACAGTGATCTAGGATGACGCATGTAATCATTGCCCCAAATACTGGAACCTACACAGCCAGATTTCAGGATGACTGAGTCACTGTATTTCAGTGATGGGTGCCATTAGGAACACTTGCAGATATGACGGAATTATCTAGAATGAACCTTGGGAGGGAGAGGAATAAAGAGGATGTAGATATTGATTGTACATTTCAAATGAAAGACTTTTCAATCCAGACTCCTTGGAAGGGAAGGGGAAGAAAGGGACAAGAACGAGGATCAAAAATGTAAAAAGGGAACAACTGAAAAACTGCAAAGGGAAATTAGGCAAGGCTTTCCTTCGGTTGTTACATCAGATGTCACTTGCTCAAAATGTCACCCCAGAATGCTGCTGCTTTTCCTGTCCTCTTACCAGGTCACTGATGAACAATAGCTGCAAGTGAAGTGGCAACAGAGACACCCCACCACCCATACAGCATGTTCTTTTTTTAATCTGCTTGTTTTGGATGAGCATGTTTGTATATAGTTCAATACAAATATTTATAGAAGGGTTTTAAATAAAGGATGGAAAAACCTCGGAGCATAGACTGCAGGTTATGTCTGAACTAGAACAGGTGAAAGCCACTTTCATTTCTACATAACTGTTCCTGCATTTTTAGAAGTTCCTGAGCAGACAGCCTCATGCCTCCCTGCACCAGAGGTGGATCCAATGCTTTCCTAGGGGAGACTTAGCAAAGACCAAGGAGTGGAAAGTCAGGCAGATCAGAATAATCTGGCATGGGAGGGAGTGGAGAGCCCTCATGAAGCAAAGCTGCTGTGGGTGACAACCCTGGTAATGTATTTCCCTTCCTTGCACCTTCTCAGTTCTATACAGTAAGGTGGGTTTAAGAGCTCCCTCTTCTTTGGGACCAAAGTACCCCTTTGGACCTTCAACAGTATCCAAAGGAGCGCAGCTGTGTCTGCTCTGACAGCATGAAGGCATGGAGTGTTTCACCCAGAAAGACCAAAAGGGATTTGGTTCCCTCTTAACCCATTCCACAGTGTAGGCACTTTGTGAGGTGCTAGGGATCTAGCAATTAACTGGGGAGAGAAAACTTACCTAT